TACAGGTACACAAGATGACAGCATTGTGATGTGCTTCGCCTTCAAATGGCACGCATCTTCTCAGCATTCTGCCGTTCGGAATAACCCTGTGGACGGTGATTCCGAGACGCCTACTTCCGTTTCAGTAAGAAAGGATGCAAAGGTCTTTCGGGGTGCCACTTCCCAAACTGATCTTGTGTTTCCTACAAGGAGAGACACTGTTTCCTCAATGTCGATGGCTGGTCGTGCTAATACATTGTTCCCCATGTAAACTTGAAAGTAAAACAATCATTTCCATTTGTGTGTTGACAGTGGTCGTTTGAGTCAAAATGGGACCGTAATCCCACAATCCGACAGTAGCCACGACACGTGCAATGCCTCAACTTAGTCACATCTGATCAAATTGCAGATCGACAGCGACTGTGAATGTATGCACGGATGCCCTGCAGCGGTAGAAATGACCTTGTGAATGTAAACGTGGCAGGGTGGTCAGGCACTTGACCACTCAGAGGTGGGATGTGTACAGCATTCGCATTTCAAGGGCAGACACACGTCTGCCAATGAAACTCTATGACCATGACAGTTTTGTTGCTAACTCATGACGCAAACGTCATTTCTGTGAGTACTCAATGCGATGTGTGGAGGGGTAGATCCTGCTCATCTGATTGCATCATCACTCCTTGAGGCGATATCGCGCAATCGAGGAGTCATCTCACTGGAAAACATCCGTCTTACAAGCATCTGTGAAGTCAACAGGTTAGCACAACTGTGCTTGCTATCAAGCCAGCCTTCCGCCTCCAACCAGCACAGAAGACCTGAAGACGTGTTTCGGTATGGAAGACGGCAACCTTCCACATGGCAGCATTATCTAATATGCAACAAGGCATGAGGGCAGCATTTCACATTGGAAGCAAAGTGGACATTGGAACAATAAGAAGATATGAGGGATTTCACCAATCTTGCTGTTCTGGCTTGAAATCAAAGGCGACGGTGTGACCTGACTTCACCTTTGCCAAAGGTGACGGAAGAGTTCAACGTACCGACATCCACGTGGAAGTGCAATGTCCTGGTGGTTGAGGCTGACATCCGAGGACCTCCGATCCCGTTGGTGTGCCCGACTGCCGAATTGGAGTCAGACTATTCTTCCATGCAGCGAAATCAGCCAGCAGTTTCTCCTTCGCAGTCTCAACACGACTGTCCCAATCGCGCTGCTGCGCCACCAACATTCGCTCGGCTTCGCGTTCCCTCTCTCGGCTTTTGCGTGTCTCATCCTCCCTCGCCTCGATTTGATCCTACCTCCAGCGACGGAAGAACACGCTACCAAGAACTCGAAATACAAAGCTCCACTCTGCCACCGATGTTTGATCAGACGGCGTGGTGTTATTGTGGGGCAAAGCATGATGGCCGCGTGTGCATGTGGTTGACACCACCTTATGGACAAGTAATAACTATGAGGTCGGTATTCAAATAAGTTGCCGTAATTTTACATTGGACGTCAATATCCATCTGCTATTTTTGCTCGACAGGAAACAGACATACGGCAAGTTCCACCTCGACAGAGAGCTTAGTCTCTGAAGGCGAAAATTGAACCTCGACTCATTTACCTCCGTCCACTATCTACGCTGGATTGTCCGTTTCCCATGTGATTGTGTGGATGCGTGATGCTAATGCCAAGAAAGGGCAGTCACAAGTGGGAGTTTGAAGGAATGCGGAGAAAATGCGATGGAAGTGGCTGCGAGAGAGAGTAGGGCAGTAGCCCTCTCCCACACACACCACAGTGCACCCCTTACAAGGGACGAGCACTTCCCTCTCTCCCACTGATTCACCGGCTCGCCGTTTCTCAAGTCATGACTGCGTCTTTCCAAATGGCATTTCCTTGTCCGCTGCACCATTCCGGTGTATCAGGTGCATAGGTTTCAAGGGCAACCAGTGGGTCTTCGACAGGTGAATGTGTACTGCTGAACCAACACGTCTGAAGTCCACTTCAAACACATACACACACACACACGCACACAGGAATAAAGTGCAGCAATCCGTTGGGCATGAAATAGTGCGGGAATTGGAAGTGTGCGGTGGGCAGTGGATGGATTGTTTGTGCACGATCAAGTAGGAACATGCACATTTGCCTAATGAGGGATGGAACGCAAAGGTACAGGTGCCATTTCCCATCACAACTCAGTCAAACAAACCTGTCTGTCTATCAACCAACACGCAGCCTAACCAATGACATCCCATAACATGGTCAGGCAATGGGAGGGAAGAACAGCAAATCCACTAACCCTCTACCCTCTCGCCATCCCTCCATGCACGGCACGTGGACGGAATGCACTCGCTCCGGTCAGCCTCTTGCCATCCACCATTTCCCTCCATCCATTCCTACTTGACACGAGTCAATCGAATCACCCCACCTTGATTCACATCAACACTTTCGAATGAAGTATCCTCACACCGTCATCCCACTCTTCTCCAAACACTCCCAACAACTGGCCCTGCATTAGCACTTCAGATGAAGGCGCTTCCTCTACATGGTGCACCTACCTGTGAGTGTATCAGCAGCAGAATCACGTCACTTCTTCCCACCACTTCTGGGTGCGACGTCGACGTCTGGCCATTGCATCTAACGCCTTTATCGAATGCTACACAAGTTGGACGAGATGCATCGGCACCAATGCAACCGACTTTACCTCGATTCCTTCATCATGCAAGTTGGAACCACAGTAGTGAGATTCTTTCAAGGGGAAATCATTGCATAAACGAGTGTGCTGAGAGTGAGGTGAGGGTGGTAGAGAGTACAAGGAGGGGTGCTGTAGTGGTAAACAAATGTATATCTTCATCTAGGCTTTAT